AAAAACCCTAGAAACCCTGTGAACCAAAGAACCTATAGACCCAAAAGACCCTCTACACCCAATAGACCCTATGAAAGCCCCAAACCCAATATATCAAATCAATCCTACAAACCCAAGTATACATCCTATAAACAGAAATTGTTAGCTCTATAACTCCTATAAACACGATGATATCCTAAAATGCGCTGCGGAGGAGCTCTCAGTCCTGAACACTCCTTCAAACCACACAATCCTGGGCCCCAAACAGGGTTTCCCAAAATTAGGAGTACACATTTGGGGGGGTCCAAATTATAAGAATGATAGAACTTTGGGGTCTATGTTGGGATCCCCATACTTATGGAAATTACCAAAGAGCCCAAGGTAGATGTAGTCCCCCTTAAGTAGATAGAATATGCCTTCGGTTTACTATGATAAGATCCCCATATACCCCATATTCTATCTACATAAGGGGGACTGTAGCATTTATAGACTTTGGGTACCAAAGTAGGTGTCAATGGACTTGGAGCCAAGGGCGAGGCCCCTGCGATGCCTTCTCACAAGCTCTCCGGACCTTGTACCCTTAAATGGAGGTGCGTACACATATAGATGCATATATATATATATGTATAATATAATATGTGGTGCCTAATTGCGGAATCTGGCAGACGGAGGGTCTAGGTACATCCGCGAATCCTGGAAATCCATTTGTCGATCTGCGCAGCAGCGGCATCATAGTCAGGATGGGGGTTCTGGGTTTAGGGACTATAGGGTATAGGGATTAGGGTTTAGGGGTTTAGGGATTACGGTTTGGAGTTGTGACGACTGGCTTGGCTGCGATTTTGCCGGGACTCAAGGACGAACTGAAGGCAGCAGATCGCTTCATGCGGCCCAACTTTCAGGGGCTTCAGAGGCCACACCACTGCGTCCCTAAACCCACGCAGCCCTAGAAACCAAACTGCTGAACCCATAAAGTCCATGAACCCCACTAAACTCCTCAATCCTTCAAGCCCTAGAAAGCCCATAAATCCTGACACAGACGCCACAAACCATGCAAAAAACAAGCCTCTGAAGACCCTGGAATGGGGGTATCTATATGTATATATATATATATGGTACCCAATAGCGGGTAGCGTGTAATCCACCCCAAAGCCCTAAACCCTGAAGCCTAAGAAGCCTCAGAGGAGCTCCATGCCTTTCTTCGGAATCCCAGCGTGGTGGAGCACGAGACGACAAGCGAGGCGGACTATGCGGACTGAATACCGATACATGTTTAGGATTTACAGTATGTATCGGGTTATAGGGTTTATTGCGTTTATGGGATTTTTGTTTAAAATAGTGTTTATAGGATTTAATAGGTCTATGATATCGCAGGCCCGCCTCGGCTGGCGGGGCGCGGGGGTCAGGGTCGAGGGAGTAGCGCAGTCAGACGTGTTTGTTGCATGCCTGTTCCAGTATTCATGCAGGGGGTTGGCTGGGCTTAGTCCAGCCACTAGTAGTGAGGGAGTTCGCAAGCTTCGAGAGCCGCAACCGTCGAACCGGCCTCAAGGAGCAGGGCTGCGTTTCAGGGTCGGAAACTGTATGTCCCCGAGTGCAATTTGACGCTACTCCCCGGATCCTGAATTTTTCCTGACCATAGAAGAAGGCGGTCGACATACGCAGGGCCAGAAGGCAGACCCGCCACGTCGCAGAATCCTTAGTATACAGCCTCTCGTGCCGCAGTTCGCCCCAAGCCGAAGGTAACTGTTACCGCGTAACTTCTGCATCTCACATGTAAGCTCAAGAGCCGCTCCATGCCTGTGGAAATTTTCCGCAGAAGCCAAATGTTTGAATCTAGCCTCAAATCCGAAGCTGTTTTCAGAGTGCGAAATCCCTACTTGAGGTAAGGTTTATATGTCCGGCCCACCTCACGTAACACCTGATATGGAGACTCGCCAAGCAAGGTCCACACATGAATTCTCGCGTAAGCCAGGGACCATGAGACTTCGTAATGAAGACATAGTCCTTAAGTCGTATTTGGGATCCTAGAAGCATTCTAGGTACATATTCCTTTAATTTGTTGGGCCTTGCGGGTTTTTTTCGAGTGCACCGAAGCCTTGGCTTTTCAACCAAGGCCCCTAAATGACGTTCATGTATACATCCAGTTTGCGGGTGCTTTGCTCTATCGAGGATTGTTGGGGGATCCATGAATAGAGAAATCCTGTGGCCAAAGCTCACAGGAAACAAAAGCTACCTAACATTGTCCTGGACCAGCCCGAAGAAACGCCTCCCTCGGCTTCCCTGAAGCTGAACCCTAAACCCTAAAGTAGTTTCCATTTTCTTTTCCATTATCCCTTTACATCCCTAAAGTAATATCATATAACCCTAATATAATCCCTACAATCCCTGTAGTTTCCATTTCTTTTCCATTATCCCCATATTACCCCAAGATAACCCCAATGGCTCCTCTTATCCGCAGTTTCTCACCTCCGCGACAGGAAGTGTCTCAAGTCATCAAAACGCTGCCATACCATGTGGAAGCAGACCCTGAGGCCCCAAGGAAGGGTTGGCTGTTAGGGTTCAGGGTTCAGGGGAGCGGGTTAGTAGGTTTCAGGGGGTTTAGGATGTCTGTCTCCTTTTGAAGGTCATAGTTTGGATTCATCCGAAGATTGCGGACGGCTGCACGTAATTGTTTCTTTTCTTTAGCGACTGTTCTTGTAACTTCGATGGGCTTCCAGACATGGGACTGATCAGTAAAGTTTCCATCAACGACAGCAATGCGTTAACGTTCAGGAAGCACCCCGGGCAAGGGGCGGAAGCCATGCTCTGATGGATATGGTAGTTGTTCAAAATACATGTCCCCAAAATGGCCATAATGGTTCCCTGTTTGGTTAGGCTCCTTTAAGGAAGTGTATTAGTCTATTCTCAATGGTCCCTTCTTCACAAGGACCTTTAGAACAACCCCCCCCTTATATATATATGTATAATCCTTTGCATCCAATATCAAAACCCCTCCCACCGCATTGCCCCATTACCTGCATGCTCAATAGCTTCGATGGCTGCCCAAGCGATTTGTCAACATTCTGGGGTAGGTGGGTTGGAAAAGTCACATTTTTCACAGTGGCCCTAAACACAAAACCCTAAACCATACACCCAAAACCCCCGAGCCACGTTTCATATTCTGGGGCAGGGTGGTAATTATCATCATATTCCTTCTAGTAGCCCGACAGATGGTGCGAGCCATATCTAAGAGAAGCTGGCAAGGTTTGTGTGTTTCATATAACCGTCCCCCTTAAGTAGATAGAATACGGCTTTGGGTATATTATAGTAAGAGCCCCATATACCTACGTACATTCTCAACCATAAATTCTGCCCCAGACCCTATAGAAAACCCTAAAGCCCTAAACCCTGAACCCAAAACCCGAAACCCTGAACCCCTATGTCCTTCGAAGCTGCCAGATGCTGACTCGCTTGCCTTTCGAGATACGGAAGGCGCGGCCAAGTTTCCTTCATTCAGGGGATTCAGGGTTTAGGGGTTTAGGGGTTTGGGGGTTTAGGGGTTTGGGGATTTAGGGTTTAGGGGTTAAATAGGGATAATGACAAAGAAAATGGAAGCTACTATTCAGGGGTTGGGGGTTAGGGGTTAATGTTCAGTTTTGAAGATTTAGGGCTTAGGGTGGCTTGTGTTTAGGATTTTGGGGTTCAGGGCTTTGGTAACCGAATTGGTCAATAGGTTCACGACGTCAGTCCGTGCTTTGGAGTTTATGTACTTGTTTAGGGTTTTGGGATTAGGGTATGGAACTTGGGGGCCAGTATTCACAGGTTAGTTGAGGTGTAGTTAGGGCTTGCTGAGATTTTGGGGTCCCTGTTACCATGCTTCTCCCTTCCTTTAGGCCAGGGGCTGCCAAAAAAAGTTGGTACCTTAAGCTCTGAGCCCTAAACACCAAAACGGGCTATCAACAGCAACCCGCAAGTTCGCTTCAGATTCTACATCCACACCCTTCTACGCTTCGAAGCATAGAAGGGTTCAGAGTTCAGGGTGCCCGGTTGTTCACTTCAAATCCTACATGGACACTCCACACCCTACTGAGCTTCAGAACATGGAAGGTTTCAGAGTTTAGGGTTTCGGGTTGAATCCCTGAGCCTCCAAACGATGAATCTCTGGAGTACAGTCTTTGAGAGGCAACCAGAAGCCCCAAACGAACGGGCTGTCAACCCCTCCTTCAAGCCAAAGACCTGCATTTTTTGGGATCCTGCAGCATCAGCCCTTCCATCACAGAACTGAAGGTCCCTTAGATGCAAGGCGCGTTAAAGTCGAATTCTAGCCATCTCTAGGGACAAGGCCTTGAGCTGGGTTCTCGGTAGAGCAACAGGTAGGGCAGGCTATACTTTCCATGAATATCCAAGAACATATGAGCTACAGTCTGAACTCCTTAAAGGGGTTATATAAGGATTATATAGTGGACTATTATATGGAGGCTATAAAAGGGGAATACTAGGAGTTTAGTTTAGACTATAGCTCACATACTCTAACCCGCAGCATGCCCGCTGGAAAGCTTTCACCCCCAGAACCCCAAGCCCACTGCAGTAAGGTAAGGGCCTAGATTCCTAGATTCAACTTACTACGCTGAGATAGAAGCTTGAGCTATTGGAGTAGAGGTTGTGCGTGTAGTATCCTTGGAGTATAGAACCCTAAGAGTCCAAGTACCCAAGTATTGGAGCTTGAGGTACCCTAAGGTCTTATCATTGGGGTACTTGGACCTTTAGGGAAAGGTTTATGAGTGGATACTAGTCCCGCATGTCCCGCAAGCCCAGCGTAGCTTGACCATCGATTTTCTGGACCTTGCGATCAAGGGTTCCAGATATTGTATCACTAAGGTCATACCCCTAAAGTGTTTCCGCAATATGGCCTGAACATTGCCCGAATATAGTCCAAGGGAGCCCGTGGGTGTGCAGTGATCACCAAGAAAACAAGAATTTGCGGATCCCCTGGGCATGGCGCCAAGGATTGCCGCGTCGGCGCCCTCCACATTCTGCAGACGATCATGCGTGGAATCATCAAGTTCCATAGCGAGTTGCCACTATTGCAACATTTCGTTTTCCATGCTGAATCCAGGGACCCTGAAGCTGAGGAGCCTGCCAGTGATGGCCGATGTGATGTCCGGCCCAGATTGCGCAGCCACCAAAGCGTTCCTGTTCTGCGGCGGGGCCATGCCGGTAGACTGGATCTTGAGAGGAACGTGACCTTTCCAGAGCGGCATGCGGAAGCTATCAGCATGCAGCTGGAGCAGGCATGCTTTTTGATGGCTGCAATGGACTGCTCCACCAAGAGCCGTGCTCGTGAGATCAGGCGTACCAAGCCACAACGGTCCCTGTTCCCCAAGCCTCTCCGGAGTGAGGAGCTAGTGTCCCTCGAAAGGATCCCAAAGCCCAGGGGTACAACCTTAGGGGTACAAGCCTGACACCCTTGATGAGAAGCCACAGTACCACGGCAGGGAGGGAGCGTCTTTTGTGGAGCAACCCTTGTCGGATAGTTCTGAAGCGTACAAAACCCTGAAGATTGTACTCCCTGAAATGTCCATGGAACACCTATAATTCCTTGCAACAAAACTCGTATGAGCCCATTTACCGTCCTCGACTCTAAACCCTAAACCTTCGCACATTGAATAGGGTTGCGGCTTTGCAGGCGGATATATAGGGTTCGTTCGGAGGTTATATAGGCTGTAGTAAGCTGGAATATAGGTAACATTGGAAGAGGCTGTCGACCCCAAGGGCACCAGCACCAAGTAAATCTATACCTCCCCCGAACCTATACTAAAATTCTCAATAGCAAAGCTTAAATGTCCCCTGAGTAAACCCAGTGTCAGCAGGAGCGGGGCATTGTGCTGCGAGCTGCGACTTGTCTCAAGCAATGTACGGAAAAGTCGTAAGAAGGTAACATTTACAGTCTGTGAAAAGTACCGCTGTAGAGAAGTATAGTTGGTCCTAGTATACCTGCCTAGATCCTAAAGTTTTGGGGCTTTTGCAGGAGGCCTTCACCCCTACTTGCTCATCATGTGGGGTTTCCAAAAATTAGGAATCCTTTCTCGGGGAATCACTATGACAAGGATTGACCTTCAGTATTTCGGGGTACGTAAGGGTTATGCAATCCCCTTATTAGGTGGGGTGTAGTTGCACCGGTCAGAGGCCTTCTTCGGATTGCCGGTTGATTGTATAGCCCCCCTTAAGTAGATAGGATATGGGGTGTATGTGGGTCACATGATAATATACTCAAAGCCATATTCTATCTACTTAAGGGGGGCTGTACATGTTCGGTGTGCGTTTGAGAAGAACTTCATTCAAGCTCCAAGCCCTTGAGGTCCATATCGGGGTTCCCTTAAATTAGGGGTATGTTCGGAGGGTATTTTGGGATCTACATTGGGGTCCCCCTATTTTGGGAAACTGCCATACGCTTCGCGGGTAGTGCGCAGGGAGTCCAAGAGGTACGTAGATTGTCTTAAGTTGTGTCAGGGTTGGGAATTGTTCGTCGTGTCTATATCCTTTTCTGCGGGTCTTCGGTTTAAGGGTAGGAGTGGTGTGGTGTGCTCTTTTGGGTTCTTTTTCAGGAACTTAATTTCAGTTATAATGCGGAAACTCCTGTATTCTTACTATTTGCCCATATTTTAGCGACTGAAACTAGTTAGGTTCCTTAACAGCAGCCCAGTTGATAGGTGTGGGTGAGAGAGTGTTGGGTGGCTTGTCTTGGGAGTTGGATGCGAGGAGGTCTCAAGGTCCTGGATTTGGGTCTTTAGGGTTTGGGGTTTAGAGCGTTTAGGTTGGTTTATATATATATATGGGTTGGTTTATATAGGGGTTATGCGGGTTGCATGGGGTTATGGGGGTTATGTAGGGGTTGTTTCTTTCATTTGATGCTTTGCAGTGGAATGAGTTAAGACTATAGGGTGCAGGGAACAGTTCAGGATTAGGGTTTGAGTGGGGATGACGTTGCGCAGGTTCAGGGATTGGAGATTATTTGTAGCAAGCTGGGCTTGGGCTTAGGGTCGCAGGACTGGGTTGCAAGGCATTCATAGGATTCTTTGACCTTGAACCAGGATGCCCGGCACCATCAGTCCTCACAAAAAAATCCGAAGGGATCCAAATAGCCCAATGTAGGTCATGTTTACAGATTTTTTGGATCCCTATATAGCCCCTCTATAACCACAGTTTCCATTTCATTTTCCATTTTCTTTGCCACATGATTCTCCATTATTTACTCTATACCTTACAAACCCTAAGCCTAAACCCTAAGATGTTGCGAGTACATAGAGGGGATGTGAGAGTTCAGAATCTCTGTGACAGGTGCAGATGAACGGCTTGGCTTTAGCATACGCCGGCGAACAGTTTCAGCAGGACATGGAGGATTTTAGTATCAACCGTATTATTTTATGTAGGGATGATGTGGGATTCCATTCCCCTGTTCCCTACTAAGCACTAGTAAGCTATGATATGGGTATTCTTACTTTTAGTTAGCTAGGAATGAAAAATGGATCATTATAGTAGTCCCTTCATTATCCGCTATAGTAGCTTCCATAAGGCCAGTTGCTGGGTGGAGCTTGCTGGCTTGCTAGGCTGCAGCTGAACTTTTCATGATGCGAGCTGCAAACTCCAATAGGCACATGGGGCTGGAGCCGTAAGTCTCAAGCTTCATCAGGGGCCTCGACGATTTGCATAGTGAGCTGCCATGACAATTCACTTCATAAGCATCAAAGCTTCAGCCCAAATCGGCTTTCAGTATCTCGGTTTTTTGCTCCGTCTACGCATAGGTAGCTTCCAGGCTAGCTAGCATGCCAGGGATGAGAGGACCCAGACATCTCGACCCCGAGTCCAGAAGCTTAAGCATCTAAACATGCATACAGCATCCCTGAACCCACAATCTCCAAGCCCTGATCCTAAACCCAAAAACCTACAACATTGGAAGCCCAAACCACAATCCCCCAATCCTAACCCCACACAAGCCCCAAGCCCAAAAAACACCACCCCAAACTTGCAACCCGGGGCTCACAGGACTGGCGGGTGGTCCTTGCAGCAGTTCAGCAGGAGCTTAAAGCCTAGGGTTTCAACGAGAGCCTTTACGGGTTATAGGGTTCAGGGTTTTGGGATTTAGGGTTTAGAGTTCAGAGTTTAGGGTTTATAGGGTTCAGGGTTGAAGGTGTTTAGGGTGTCCAGGGTGTTCAGGGTCTAGTGTTTTGAGCACATAGACTTTAGAATGGGAACTGGACCTCATTGTTCTGTTGATGTGATTTCAGTACCTGGGACTCCAATGTCTGCCCTTAATCAGGGGATATGGGATCCTAGTTTCTGGTACGTTCCCAGCAAAGGGAGGTACTGAGCTCGGTCGATATCAACAATCCTGCATGACTTAAGCCAGGATGTTCAAGATCAGTAGCTTGACCTGAGCTGCAGTAGTCTATAGTATTTAGTAGTAATAACAGTAGTAATAAGAAAAGTAGTATTCGTAGCAATAGCAGTACCACTAGCAAAAGAAGAGGGAAGGACGCAAAAGAGGAGGAGTTCTGTATCCACTACACCCCAACCCCCCTCCAGGATGGTGACGCGCTACAGTACGCGGCCCCCGAGCTCAAGGCAGACAAGGAGGCTGCTCAAGGGGGCTTTGGGTTCAGGGTCCCTCTAAGGGGGTTGTAAGAATGTAAAGGATTCAGGGTCTGGGGAGGTTCTGAGTAGGGAATGCAGGAACGTTGCAGAGCATGGAGGCTAGTATATTGTTGGGGGTTTCTACTCACAACCAGACGTTTAGGGTTCAGGGTTGCAGGGTTCATAGGCACTGGGAGCTTGGTGGTTGTAGAGCTTACCTAGGTTCAGGGTTCAAAAATTTGAGGTGTGAAGAAGTTTGAGGTTCAGGGTTTCAGGCATTAGCGCCCAGGGGGTCTAGAAACATGGCGATTGTATTGGCTACAAGACACTCGCATAATCTGCGTGGAAGCCTTCGAAGACGAATGTTTTAACCAACATCTCGTATCAGTGGATCCACGTGACGTACTGGTACACCACGCCCCGCGCTTGCCAAAGACAAGTTATCCGGGAATGATACTTCACGGGACCCATCGCTTAGCAGGGGCCACGCAAGGGCTAATTTCAAAATGTATAAGTTTGAATAGCTATTACTACACTGTCAGATACAATCCCAAGAGATGTACAGTATAACATACTAGTATATACACCCTCAAATCCCACAGGTTGTCCAAGCCTCTACAATATGCTTTTTCCTAGACCATTCAAGGCCCCTCTCCCCAAGTTACAAGAAGACTCAGACCCCATAATTAGTGTTGATAGAGAGAATCTTGCATCGCCTATACTCCCAGATGTCTCAAGAATTGCGGTATTTTAGGGCTCTCACATGGTGCAAAATTTCATTCAACAATGGTAGCACCCCCCGACTCTTGAGGTTGTCCTGGCTGCCGTCAACTCTAAGGGCTCTGCCTTGCGGAGCCTTGGATCTCAAAGAACCTTATCCTAAGGTTAGGGTTTAGGGTTTAAGGGGTCTGTTGTTTAGATTTTAGGGTTTAGGGAGTGGAGTTTAGGGTTTAGGGTCTGGGGAATTACCCTCAGGGTCCAGGTACCTGACTATAATATACTTACCGGAAAATGTCTACAGTTACTCTTACCCAAATCCCAAGTAACGATGATTATTTACAGACTTGGGCCCAATGTAGGTATGGTTTGTATGCTTAGATTTCTAGGGTAATGATGTATGATGTGGGTACTGCCTCACCTTGTAACAGCTGGATAATATGTACGATGTATTAATATGTACATATACAGCCCTCAGTATGACCCCTTAGTATAGACCTTTACAGTGTGGGGGCAGGGTAGTGGGTACAATATTGTATGTACAATATGCTTGTATATAGCCCTTAATGTGGTGCTTACTCAAAACTGTTACATGGTGGGGGCAGTACCCAGCCCTGAGGCATCCTATGAATACATGATTCAGGGGTTTCTGGGTTCAGGTAATACTCATACTACTAGTGGTAAGAATTGTAGCCGTAGTTTGGGATGTAGCTTTGAGGGTGTACGAGATTTTCTACGCTAGATTTGTGGTTGAGCCGTCAAGAGCCACAGGTGGTTCGGCTCCAACACCGGCGCAGCCATGTGAGCAACCGTCAATACTCGTTTATAAGGAATTCAATAGCCGCTGGACAAGGAAGGCCAGCACCTTGTAAAGCGACGGGAACATTAAGAAGCGACACCCCCACTAGATGAGCTAAAGAGGGCCTCATGGCATGCTGGCTAAAGTCATGTCCATTTCTCTCATTTCATATAGGGGCACGCAT